TGTGTGTGTGTGTGTGTGTGTGTGTGTGTGTGTGTGTGTGTGTGTTGTAAGGTATTTGCAGGGTTGTTTTTAACGCTGTGGTTGCAGTGTTGTGTGGGGAAAAAAGTGTGTTTCTAACATCAGGTGTGTTGCTCTGCTGTGGGCCCGTGTTTGCAGTGATCTGTGTGTGTCTGTGTGTTGGAGCGGTTCTTCTCACAGTGTCCGTATATTCTGAAGCAGAACTTTCTGCTTTCAGACTGTTTTAACAAACTTGAGAATAACGCCTGGCTTCAGTGCCAAGCCCACGCTTGAGTGGTTGTTGCTCCCGACAGCTCTGTCAATGAATCATTGCACACCAGTAGTAATATTCAATAGTTCATATGCATTCAATTGTTATTTAGTAAAGATAAACTATTGATAACAATGATACTACCCTCTGGTGTGCAATGATGCACTTCTGGAAACTCGTATCGATGTGACTGGTTTTCATGCTGACCAGCTGGCTTGTTGGTGGCTGTGTGACGTACTGACATCTAACCAGCATCCCGTGTTGTTTGTCTCTTTCTATTGTAACGGTTAATGCGTCAGTGGTCAGTCAAGATGGTAAGTGTGTGTAAGTGTGTGTGTAGAGTAGTTATGAGAAGGCCCAGCAGTGTAGGTGGTCGTGCATGTGTCCTCTCTTCCCATAGTGTCCAATATAGTATATATAAACCCTTTAGTGATAGTAACGTCTCCTTCCCTAGTTAAAATAGATGTCCTGCCTTGTATAACATTACACCCACATAAATCCAATTACAGTGCCTCAGTTTTAGTCCATTGTTCTCCATTTAATGTCACTTACTGTACAGTTTACCCAGAAGGCAACTCGGGTAACTTCAGAAGCAAAATATTGTAATTTGAAGGCAACAAAGAACAACAAAATAAATATTTTTCTTGTTTAACAACCTGGCAAACAAGTATCTGAATATCCAAATGTGAATTATTATTCAGCCCAGATTATTGATTGTAAATTAATTGTCTCTCCGAGGTCACCATGTCTTGAGAGGTTTGGTGCATCAGTCAGTTTTACTCTCTGACATTTTAAGATTTAGATTTTGCAGTTGATTTTCGATAACAGGGCGATTATCTGCCTTTTATTAACTGTTCCTTAATTTCAGTTAATTTTGAGTGCAACAACTACAGGCTGCTGATTTTCCCGTCTTGTTCTGTGTAAAGTGTGTTTAGTGGAGGCAGCTGGGCTCAACAGAAGTGCAGAGAAACCTATAGATTCATCTTTATTCCCTCTGTTGTGCCCAGGATCATTCCTCCACATTACTGACTTCATTATGAGTTGCTATGTAGTTTAAGATGTTTATTTGTCTTTTTCTTTTTTAAACCACCAGGCCCCATCTCTGGAGGATTTCAGTCACTTGCCCCCCGAGCAGAGGAGGAAGAGGCTGCAGCAGAGGATCGACGAACTCAGCAAAGAGCTCCAGAAAGAGATAGATCAAAGGTTGGGCCTCACCCTTTATTCTCACCCATCAACACATATCCAGAATAATAAACCCACCGTGGATGTGCTTATGTTGTTCCTCACTCTGACCCATGAACTGCTTATTATCATTAGTCCATCCCATCAGCCCCAGTGCATGTTTGTTCTGTGTCGTTCAGAGATGCCCTGAACAAGATGAAGGATGTGTACGAGAAGAATCCACAGATGGGAGATCCCACTAGCCTGCAGCCCAAGATATCAGAGACCATATGCAACATGGAGAAGCTGCGCTCGGAAATCCACAAAAACGAGGTAAGAAAGGAAGAAGGTTTAGACATAAATAGAGCCAACATTACCTGACTGTAAAACCCCAGAAAGAGGTGGAGGGTACGAGAAGAAAGGATGCTTAAGAGGTTTGTTTGGTCTCAATTTTTGATAGTGGGTCACCTACGTAAAGAGATGCTCTGTGTGGATGATGGCGGAGTCGATCACAATGTACTACTTGTGGTATTAACAGAAGCCTCCTCTCTCCCTCTTTGGTGACAGACTTGGTTGTCTGAGGTGGAGGGAAAGCAGAGCTCCAGAGGAGACCGAAGACACAGTGCCGACAACCACCATCACACTCCTCAAGGCAGAGAGAGGTAAACACTAAATTACTAAGCATTAGGTCTTCATGAATGACATAAGAATCTGAGTAATCTTAGCTTTCAAAATCAGTGAATCTATTCAGTAAGTAGTATGTAACATGAAGTTATGTCTCTACAAACTATTGTTACAATGTTTATTTAAAAACACAAAATCACACTCACTGGCTTTAGATTATGCTTCGTCTTCTTCTTCTGTGTTTGTTTATGGCACCATTGAACAAATAATTCAAATAATAATTCTTGACTTTTGGGGTCCTTCATTTTGTAATATTTTTCTAAGAAGCTTCCAATAAAGCGGTGTAATTTGGTACTCGATATAAGAGAAAATTAAGGCAGAGTTCAATTGGTATTCTTCCATTTAAGTAATTAAAATAAAGTGTTTTCATCAGTGCACAGCAGGTCCGCTAAACATATACAAATTTGAATTACAGACCCATTAAAATAAAGCATTGCTAGCAATTTTGTATGTCATTGTTGAATGTGTTGGAATTCCTCATTAAATGGAGGTAAAATACATTTACATACACCATATGAAAGCTACCATCTTCACTTTTTCATCTAGTAATCCAGTGGTGCAGTTTACAAAGGATTTATTCTCAGAAAATTGACCTCTCTACACAATGCTCCCGCTAACACACATTTTTCATCATGGGAATATGAAGAAGGGATCTTTGTTAATCATGCAAACACCAAGCTCAGCCCTACTGCCTGTTTTCCCGTCAGTCCTGAGGGCAGTTATACAGACGACACCAGTCAGGAGCATCACGCGCCTCAACAGCAGCGCACCAGTCCTCCGAAGCCCGGACAACCGAACCCCGACCTGCACGAGTTCGATGACGAATTCGACGACGACGACCCGCTGCCCGTCATCGGACACTGCAAAGCGCTCTACTCCTTCGATGGTGAGGACAAACGTCTGAAAGTGCTAACTAGCCAGGTGGCTAACTAGCCAGGTGGCTAACTAGCCAGGTGGCTAACTAGCCAGGTGGCTAACTAGCCAGGTGGCTAACTAGCCAGGTGGGCCAGTATGAACGTAAACATGTTGCTACTTGTGGCTACTAGCTTCCAAATGTTAGCAGCTGTGAAACTTCAGATGTGTGCAAGACATAATGCTTATGTGTGTGCCAACATAAAACCTAAATTCATAAAAAGTAGTTTGAGGGATCCAAAGCTAACCCTGGTGTGTGTTTAATGACACTATGGTTTGTTTGACTCTCAGGTCAGAACGAGGGCACGCTGGTGATGGCAGAAGACGAGGTAACGCTCGTTTGGTACCTTTTTTAATAACCAGTTATCCAGACACTCATTACGTTCACTTAAAAACAACCTGTTCATCTTCCACTGCAGGTGTTGTACATCATCGAGGAGGACAAAGGGGACGGCTGGACGAGGGCGAGGAAGCAGGGCGGAGAGGAGGGCTACGTGCCCACTTCCTACGTAGAGATCACCATGGAGAGAAACAGCAAAGGTGCCGTCACCTACATCTGAAGCTAACACTGTGGTCTGTCCTCTCATCCTGTCTGTCGTCCTCGCCATCCTCCCTGCTTTCTCTTCCTCCAAATAACACTACAAAAGGAAAAAAAACAAACCGACAGCATCTCGACACCTGCATGGACATTCATCTGTTTTCTGATTTCCATCCCGTCTCTGTATCCCTCTAACCCTGTAATCATTCGTTCTCTTCATATCTGTTCCACTGATGTTCCAGAGGTGAGTGTCTGAGCACAGAGACAAACATTATTTGATGGTGTTTTGAGGGATTTGTAAGTTGTACATGAGGCATTTCTCTCTCTGTGTGTGTGTGTGTGTGTGTGTGTGTGTGTGTGTGTGTGTGTGTGT